TCATCACTCTGCTAGTCATTGGGAATACAGAAATGAAAAGCAAGAAAAGGGCACAATTTCAGCCTTCAAGGAGCTTTCATTCTGGTAAGTAGAGAGATAAGAGACTCAACGATTAGGAAACAAATGTGTTCACATGGGAGGTCATCTAGTACAGCCTGGGGGCACATGAGTTGGCAGGTCTAAGAAATGTTCTAAATGACCCAGGTGCACAGTTGTTTAGTATAACACTCTGTATAACAGTTACATAATATAGAATTATAATACATAATTGATATTATACTCTATACTACATATTATGTTAGTTATATTATATATGTTATATATATCCAAAAGAATTATATTTGGGTGAGGTTGATGTCCATCAGTAGGGGACCATTAAAATGAAATGTTGATGTGCTGGGATGAAAATAGCTCAAAGAAGGCCTCAAAAGAGTGCATGCCATAGGCTGTTTTTGGTGGTGGAAAATAAGAATATGGAGTCATATTTTCTTGTATTTGTGTAGACACCTTGGAATTATATGCATAACACTAAAAAACAAACAAAACTGGTTGTTGGGGACTAAAAATGGGAGGAACAAAGGTGGGAGGGAGTATTTTCACTGCAATAATTTTTATGTTTTTGAACTAAATGAATGTATTATCTATTTAAAAAATTAAATGAATATATCCTGAGACTTTTGGGGGAAAGATGTGTTCTAGTGGACTGTGGCCAGGTGGCTGAGGTGCTATGGTTGGAGTGAGGAGGAGAAGGGGGGGGTGGAGAGCCATTCCAGGCAGAGAGCTTCACATGGAGAGGTGGAGAGTGCTCGCTGAACGCACCACCTCCTCTGGAGATGTTAAGTGGCTCCTTTAGGGGAGTGCTGGGAGGTAAGAGTGGGAGTCAGGCAGGAAACAAGACATGAAGACCTCACATGACAAGGTATGAATTCAGATTTCATCTAGAAGGTAATGGGATGCTTTGGCAGGTGGTCAGAAGAAAAGCAGGTGATCAGATTAGCAGCATGTGGTCACTTCCCCTGAGCAAGGGCATGCATGATGGTGGACAGGGCAGAAGTAGATTTGGTGATGGAAGACTTCTTAAGAGACTATTGGCCATCCTTCAGATGAGAAGTGACCAGCATATGGACCAAAGCAGGGGCAGTGCACACGGAGAGGAGGGAGACATCATCCCGCAGCCTGATCCTGGTGACCGCCTCAGATTCGTCATCACTTCCACGGCTTACATATTGGAATGCTGTCCTCAGCCTTGCTTTGGGTCCCACCCTGATCTTCAACTTGGTGTTGCTGACAGTTTGCAAAGGTTTGCTATAGGCTTCAGCAAAATTAGGGCAACAAGAACATTCTTTCTGCCTTCTGCTCTCTCTTGCCGCCTCAACCTGGGTGTCTATGGAGTAAGCACAAGACCGAATGCTGGGCTCCGTGCTGAGGGCAGGGAATGCATGTGATAAGGTGCAGATGTTCTCAGAGTCCTGAGTGACAGTCCCACATGGGGTTTCAGCTCATCACCTTCTCTCTGAGTTCTGCTATATTTTTGGCTTCCATCAAGCTTATCCACAGTTCCTGCAGAAGGCTATTGATGGGGATTTCTTTTCCTTCAGTGCCAAGCTCTGCTCGTATGCAGGACAATTGTACAGGCAGTATTCACCAGCAGAGCAGAGCTGTATCCACAGGCAAATCATTCCAGTACTTCTCTTATGTGTTCTAGTGGACTGTGGCCAGGTGGCTGAGGTGCTATGGTTGGAGTGAGGAGGAGAAGGGGGGGGTGGAGAGCCATTCCAGGCAGAGAGCTTCACATGGAGAGGTGGAGAGTGCTCGCTGAACGCACCACCTCCTCTGGAGATGTTAAGTGGCTCCTTTAGGGGAGTGCTGGGAGGTAAGAGTGGGAGTCAGGCAGGAAACAAGACATGAAGACCTCACATGACAAGGTATGAATTCAGATTTCATCTAGAAGGTAATGGGATGCTTTGGCAGGTGGTCAGAAGAAAAGCAGGTGATCAGATTAGCAGCATGTGGTCACTTCCCCTGAGCAAGGGCATGCATGATGGTGGACAGGGCAGAAGTAGATTTGGTGATGGAAGACTTCTTAAGAGACTATTGGCCATCCTTCAGATGAGAAGTGACCAGCATATGGACCAAAGCAGGGGCAGTGCACACGGAGAGGAGGGAGACATCATCCCGCAGCCTGATCCTGGTGACCGCCTCAGATTCGTCATCACTTCCACGGCTTACATATTGGAATGCTGTCCTCAGCCTTGCTTTGGGTCCCACCCTGATCTTCAACTTGGTGTTGCTGACAGTTTGCAAAGGTTTGCTATAGGCTTCAGCAAAATTAGGGCAACAAGAACATTCTTTCTGCCTTCTGCTCTCTCTTGCCGCCTCAACCTGGGTGTCTATGGAGTAAGCACAAGACCGAATGCTGGGCTCCGTGCTGAGGGCAGGGAATGCATGTGATAAGGTGCAGATGTTCTCAGAGTCCTGAGTGACAGTCCCACATGGGGTTTCAGCTCATCACCTTCTCTCTGAGTTCTGCTATATTTTTGGCTTCCATCAAGCTTATCCACAGTTCCTGCAGAAGGCTATTGATGGGGATTTCTTTTCCTTCAGTGCCAAGCTCTGCTCGTATGCAGGACAATTGTACAGGCAGTATTCACCAGCAGAGCAGAGCTGTATCCACAGGCAAATCATTCCAGTACTTCTCTCTCACTTGCCAGAAAGCTGCTGTCCTGTAACCCTGAGGGGCCCCGTCCACCATCTTGGCCACCTCCGTTGGTCCCTCCTTTGTGTCCTTCTAGATATTTCCGAGGCTCCAGCAATTACAGGGGTAATTCCTGGTGCAGCAGGACCTCTGGGAGCTCGCCCCATCTCAAAGCCCTGTGTTTGCCTATGTGCTGCCCATGCAGTGCATGCTGTTATATATGACAACTGGTACCCCTTGCTGTTAGCAATAAGATGTACATCTCAGCACAAGATAGACAACTGATACAGGAAGTACTCCCACATCATCAGATTAAAAAAACACAATTCTAATAATTTTAAGCATATTCATAGGAAATAACTGGAAAATACAAAAAATCAATATTAAATCACCTACAACTATAATACATAATTTCATACTTGTGAAAAAATTTCAGAATATATTTTATTTTAATATGAAAAGATATCATTGGAATCTCATCCTGCAGGCATATTATACAAGGAAAGTCAGAGATCAGCAATTAATCCTTTTATCTCCAGAAGGCTGAACAGAATAGTTAGGTCAAAGTGTGCAGGTGGCCAGCTTTGAATGTTTATTAAACCACTATGTCTAGGAATTCGTTTATAAGTGACAAATACCTTTAGATGGCAATGTGCACTTTATTTAGTGTTTCTCTTTAGTGTAGGTTTTTGTGTCATTTCAGCTCCTTATCAAATACTTTCACCTAGCTATTCATTTAAATTGGAGTTACTATGGAGAAATGACTTGATTCTCCAGTATCCTGTTGTATTATAAAGATGTGGACATCATGCCATCATTCCACAGAGCAGGTTAGCAATTCACTATGAATAATTTTTTCTGCAAGGAGGGTGATCTGTTTACATACGAAAGATTCTAGGAAAATGTTTCAGTACCAAAAAAATTAATATGAAGCTTTAGAATCTACTACATGACAACAGAGTACTTGTTTACTTTAAAATAGACTGAAAAGTTTTAAGAAAAAATGTACATCCATATTTTTTAATAGAAAGATTAAACATTTTGCCACAGTTTCTTCTATAATTTCTAGGAATTAGAAAGAGACCAGAGATTTGGAAAACACATATTGACAAAAAACAGAGACCAGGAATAACCAGATCCCCTATTACAATTCTGGAAGAACATTCCTTAGCATTGATGTACAACCTCCTCCTTCTTTGAATTCAGTGTAGAATTTGCCTTTTTTTGATTGGAACACTGAAAAATCTTCCATTTTTAAAAATTCTAATCATTAATCTTTCTGGAAAATTACAATTCAAATGTACTCTAAAACTCCTGACTCACAGAACTCTAAGCAAATACTGTTTTAAATAATTGCATTTTGGAGAAGTTTGATACCTAGCAGTAGATAATGGATGCAGTAAGTGATAGCAAGGATTTTCTCAAAGTTCTTTCTAAAAATAATTCCAAGGTGTACTTTTCACTGACACATGCCTTTTATATTTCTGCAATCTCTTTATTTATTATTGAACTTGTATCTTTTATTCTGACTCTTATTCTAACCAGCTGGACAGAAGAACTGAGATAGCTGGTTTATGTGAAAAATGTGATTGAGAATGGCTTCACTGTGTATTTACTCAGACAACACGTGAAGTCCTGTGGGATCTTAAAGGAACACCATTCTTAATGATGGTAATATCTTACATTAATTCCACTCCACACTGATCAAACTGTGGGCAAGACACTCTGTTATAAAGATTAAGCTCCCAGCACAGAAACCTCCTGTGTTCCAATCAAATCATTTCCTCTGTTTCTTTATATGGAACTGTATCCTGACACCAAATTTTAGGCACTGAAATGTGTAAGACAGGGATTTTTTTCGTAAGGAATAACTATTTGAAATATGGGTTTATTAGGCTGAATAAACCTTCTTGAAATTAGTGTGAATTAGGAAAAGAACGCATTAGAAGTAGTAATAGTATCAGAAGGGTTAGAAGAAGAACTCAAGATAGCGAATGGAGAGTGCATCACTTCTGGGGGACAGTGATTCTATTTCCTTGAATGGTGTAGATTGTGTCTCAAGTTAGAAACCACAGCAACTAACTTGTTCTAAAAACAGTGTCTGGATACCAAGAGGAACAAGGTGTAACTGCCATGAAGCATAACTAATGTTAGTATAATTGCTGCTCATTCCAATGGTGAGAGGATGTTCTCTGTGTGCTTATTTATGGTATTACCTCCCAGATGGGGGTGGACGGAAGGTTTAAATATAAAATGCCAATAAAGGGGAATCCTGATCAGACAACCACACAAATGTGACACTTACAGAGAGTAGTATTTGGATGGCACTGTGGATGACCTCCAGGTACTGGAAATCGACAATGCAGCCTGTGACGGAGACATACGTGTAATCATCCATCATGCCGTGGGCTGATGGAGGCAGCACCCTTCGGACACAACCAGGTCCATGTTCCCGCCACCACGACCGGTGTACAGAAATGTTGAACGTCATTAGATCTGTATCCTGGATGGGCAGGAGACAAGAGAAAGAGAGGAGACAATCACACCACACCACATCTTGAATTTTCTCCTTAACGAAGAATTCAGGATGGACAAAATTGCCAAAATTATTTAAATTTCAAGTGAAAAGTAACAAAAGACAAAATTAATATGCCTATATGTCTCATAGGCCTAAGCTATTGTGCTATAATTGATCAATGTAGAGATACAATCCTTTGAATAGTAACATTTTAAGGTTAGAGAACATCAAAAATCCAGAGACAGAGATGGGCCCCTTTCTGTATGTTCATTTTTAAAATTATTTCGTTCATTTGGAAACTTTTGTTCCTTCATCATCGTGGACATCACCATCGTGGGCTAACATTTGTTGGGTGCTTTACTGCATGCTAGACACTGTTTAGGTGCTCTTCATATTTATATCCTTTGATGCTCACTTAGATCTTATTATCAACCCAATTCACAGTAGGCTGAATCATAGTTCGCTCTAAAGACTTTTATGTCCAACTCCATGGCACCTATGACTTTTACCTTTTATCAGGGACTTGGCAGATGTGATTTTGAGTTAAGGATCATGAAGGGGGATTATCCTAGATTATCTGAGTGGGCCCTGTAGGGACCAAGAGCATGCTTCCCCCAAATGTGCCTCTTCTACATATTGATAACTTTAAAGTAAAGTGACTGGAGTAATAGCTGTGCTAGAGGGACACTCTGACCCTCCTCTGTTCCCCATTGAAATCAGGAAATAAATCTCCCAAGCGAAGGGTTCCCTCCCTGTATAAGGAGGTGGAGAAACTTCCTTACCACCAGAGACAGGAAATTCATAGCTGAGAAGGCTGCATCAATAAACCTTGTTACTTTTTACTAATTTACTATCCCAGAACAAATGCTATTTAGAATCCCTTACTAATTGAAGCTCCCAAACCTAAGTTTCCTTTGTCCTGCCAATTCCTCACAGATTTATTGTCTTTTTGTCTAAAGTGTATAAAACGTGCCTACCTTGATCAATTTCATTATTGGGCCTCTGTGCACATATAAAAGTGTTGGGTTTTTTCCTCCTATTAATCTGTCATGTTAATTGGATTTTTAGAACAGCTAGAAGAAACTTGAAGGGTAAAGGAACATTCTTCCTCCCCAAAAGCCTGAAACGCATCCATGTGTTCCTTATGAGAGGAGCCAGACAGAGATTAGACACAGGATGAAGAAGAGAAGGCAATGTGGCCATGGATGCAGGGACTGGAGTGATGCGCCCACAAGCCCAGTTGGCAGCCACTAAAAGCTGGAAGAGACAAGGATTCTCCGCTGACGCTCCAGAGGGAGCATGGCTTCGCCAACACCTTGACTTCAGCCCAGGGACACTGATTTCAGGCTTATAGTCTCCATAACTATGAGGTAAGAAATTTCTGTTGTTTAAAACATGAGGTTTGTGGTTGGTCATTATTTAGCTGCCAAGATACTACTACAGGTGAGGAAAGTGACAGAGAGGTCAAATAAATTGCCCAATTTAGTTAATAAATAAATGGCCTATTAATGGTAGATTCAGGGCTTGATACTATACAGTCTGTACTTTTTGGGATCCTATCACCTTGTGTGCTCTCACCTGCTCCCAACCTCACAGCCCCTCACAGCCTGGAGGAAGCCAGGTCTTTCTGCCTCCCTTGTTTCCAGAAAATACAACCACAGCCAGAGCAAAAGAACAAAGGGAGCAATCCCTGACATTTCCATATCCAAATGAGCTTTGGAGCTCTTAGCAGCACAGTCCCGGTGTTTAATCTTAAAGAAATGCCCTTTAGTATTTGTGGAGTGTCAGCCAGGAAAGACTAAGATCATGTGTTTTTGTTATAAAAATAGACTAAAAAGAATGGGTGAGAACCCAGGCTCTTGACTCCCAAACCAACCAAAGATTACAGCTGCTGTGGAGCAGGAGGGAGGAGGAGCAATGCTGGAGAGAGGGCATGGAGGACCTGCAGGAAAGCTGTGGGCACAGGAGCAGGGTCAGCTTTGCTGGTTTCCCAGCCAGCACCCCGAGCAAGCTCCGTTGTCACTAGTGACATGAGGTGGACTGGAGCAGCACCACACAGGGTCTTTGTTCAGTGGCCCAGGAGCCTGCCAGTGATTGTGCAGCGCAAATGATGCTCATCCCCACCTCTGTGGGGCAGGGACAGTCCCACCTCAGTGGCACAGGACACTTCTAAGTGCCAGAAATTGAGTCTGAAACTGTGAAAGCAAAATGAAGCTGGTGTGAAATAAAGGGCTCTAAGCTTATACACATGGCAGGAACATAACCAGTGTGGGCGCTCCCTGAGCAAGGACAGGGGGGAAGCCCTTTTGCTATTCTCTGCTTTATATGTGCACGAAATGTGAAGTTAGAAATACTCCCAGTTCGTGTGAGTAGGCAAAATGACTCTACAGTTCAAGATTTTCCTCAATTTAAGGAATTCAAAGTTCCATTATAAGTATGCCTCAGATTTTTCAATAATAAAACATTTACATCTTTTTTTTTTTTTTGGTTGTCGGTTTGTTGCATTGTATCATTCAGTTACCTTCACAGTTACAGCACTTTATTGACAATAAAACATTTTACATCTTTTTTTTTGTTGTTAGTTTGCTATATGTATCATTTGCAGTTACCCTCTGAAGGGAAATATTACAGAAAAATAATTGCTTCAGCTAGCGAATTCAGTTTAGTATAAGGCCATTTACCTTCAGGCAAAGTGCACACTGACTGCTCCCTTTCCTGGCCATCAGATTTAATCGCTTATAGTTAGTCTTCATCACTATGGAAGAACTATTATTTCCCATTTTAATAGAACTCATTAGGTTCAGGATGAACTAGCATGATCTCAAAATTCATAGCAATTTCTATTCTTTAAGCATTCTTACCCAGGGGCCTTTTCTCTTGTAGGACTGTAAGTTCCTTTAATATGACTTCTTTAATATGACTTTGACTAAAATTTATACTACACAAGTAAAACAAAAGTGAATTTATGAACTTAATGATACATATTTGTTATACTCATAAAACCTCTCAGTATATTTCTGACTTAATTTGTTGGCACTATAGCATATTTATAAACCGTACTGTTCTTTGCCATGGCTGTATTAAAAATTTAATGAGAACATCAATAGCATTTAATTATATTTAAATTTCAAACTTCTTACTTAAATTTGGTGTAAGGTTTTGTCTCCTAAGTTTGTGTCTGATTTCTGTTCCTTTCAGTAGCTCTATTTCAAACACTTAAAAGGCCTTAACACATGATAACTCAATTTCCTGTATGAGGCACTACAAAGGAAGTGCAATATAGGGAAGTATATTTTTTTAATAAAGAAAAATAAATGAATACAGAAGATTACTTTTGTTGAAGATTTTTGTTACCACATCAAACCCTTTAGTTTTGAAATACATGGTTATTGCGAAACCATAGACCAACAAACTAATCTTAAAAATAATTTTGAGTAGCTCAGATGTCATTTCTCTTTCATTGCTTGGAATTAGAATATTGCATGATGCTTTAAGTACACCATGGTTAAGAAAATTGACAACTGAGGTCCTTGCCATTTGCGGGTAAAATTGCATTATTTCCAGAATCTCTCGCCTGGCCTTAGGTCATCTCTGTATCAATAGGTGTTTCCAAGGGGTGGAGAGAAGTAATCTGTGTCCATATCAGTAGAAATTATAAGGGCAAGCAAGGGCATATCTGGACTGGAGAGGTTGGGTGGGGTCCCTTTTTGCAGCCCTGTCTTGAGAGACGTAGGTGAGCAGAAGTGGATGACTGCTATAAGCAATAAACAGGTTTCTTCCACTTTACTTCTCCCTTTAACTAATTTCAGTTTCAAAGGTAATTTGTCCTAGATCTGGAAAATATATTCCTTCTGCCCCAGAGTTACACCATTTTTTTTTTTTTTGGAATTTAAAAAATACAAACAATGGCATTTGTGTTTATGCAAGTGTATGTGATTACCAAGGGACAGTTTTTAGAACAAGGAAGAAGCAAGAAGGGAGAAGAGAAGTGAAATTAAAGCAAAAGGGCTTGGGAGGTGTAAGGACAGGCTGGACAGACAGTATATCAAAGCCAGCACAAGAGAGAATTTAAGGGCAGTTGCTAATGCCATAGACTGAAAACCTCCTAAAACAAGACCACTGAATTTGCTGATTGGTGGGGCAAAGAAGACAACAAAATGCAATGCCAGGAGAGTATTGGGAGCAGTGAAAACCTGGATTACAAGGAAGGGAGGGGACTGAGAAGAAAGGCTTTGGTGTGTGTATGTGTATTTATTTATGTTTCTTCATGAAGTTGGGGAGTCAAGGTAGTGAGAACATAGGATGGTAGGCAAGGAGAACAAGAATTAATACCTGGAGAACCAGATGTTACATCTATCTGCTCATACTCATAAAGATATGACTTAAAATTTTTTTACAGAGTATTTGATTTACCCCTAATATCTATTCAAACAAATATTAAATGCTTCAAAGTTATTTAATCTCAGTTGATTTTCAAACTTGTTCCCATTTTCTTAAAATACTTAAATAAAAAAAATGGAATTTCCAGAATTCTTTGAAACGTTCATTAACTATATGTGGACGTACCCCTCCACCCCCATGTCATTCACAGTCAGTGTAGCCACAATAGTGGAATCAGCTCACATCCTAAAAAATTAAAGATTCAGTTATTTTATACAGTATGCCACTACTTAATTTCTCATTAATCAAGGAGCTAGTCCTTTATTTTTTGTTCTTTAAACCATCTGCTTTTCTGGCATGTTTCTAATTTAACTTTAGCATATCTTTCTATTTCTAGAAATGGATTCCAAGTACTAATAATATTCATCTTTTTTCTTTCTCCTTAGTTGTGGCTCAAATGGTCATTGAATGCACTTTTGTATGGCTACCTACTTTCTTTGTCTTTTCACTTTCTTTTATCACTAGCCAGCCCATCTGGAAGTGAAGATGCAACCTTAGAGAGAAGTTCACATGTATTTAAGAAAGTAGATTTTCCTCAATTTTAA